TAAGACCTTTCTCAAGGAGTAGAAGTCCAGTAAGGGATTGTATAAAGCTTGCAATTGATTAGAAGTATCCTTGCATTTACTCAAACTTTTCTAAAATATCATCTTGATGTTGAAAGTATTGGAGGATCTACTTGATCATGATTGGAGTAAAAGTTTCCCCCTAGTCCGCATCTGATTCTTATGAAATTGATGCTACGAGTGATCTTTTGAGATTGGAGCACTAATTGCCCCCCAATCGGGAATCACTTTCCCACAGACGACGCTAAACTGTTGTGTCCAGGAGTATTCATGGTGATAGAGAAATATAAAGTTTAACGTCTTAGTATTGTACAAAAATCTGGAACGCAATCAGATAAGAGAAAGGGTCTAGCATTTATAAGTCACCAAGATTTTTACATAGAAAACTCCTAAAAAGGGGGAAAAACCACGGCGCCTAGCCTAGTTTGAATGAATCCACTAGTATTGTAGTCGATTAATAATGAGTCCCTTCCTTAGGCAAAGGCCTTAGCTTCATGTACATCTTATAGAGTACATTACATGATGAGAATACAAAGCATCATTATTTATGTGTTTGTTTGGTCTGAAGGATTGTAGTTGGTGTGCGATGTAAGCCGAAAAGATCATAGTCGGTGGGCGACAGAGGTCGGAAGGACTGTAGTCGGCAGGCGAGATAAGTCAGAAGGACTGTAGTCGGCGGGCGATGGAGGCCGGAAGGACTAATGTTGGCGGGCGACATTAGTCAGAAGGATCGTTGTTGGCAGGCAACGGAGGCCAGAAGGACTGTAGTCGGCGGGCGACGTTAGTCAGAAGGACCGTTGTATAATGACATAGGTCAGAAAGATGGCGTCACGTAGACATCCAGCAATGGAAAGAAATCCAGCATCGGATAGATGTCCTGTTGCAAATCTATTTTTATGACTTATATTTTGATGATTGACAAACACTATTGATTTTCTTGAACTACTTGGTTCTTCTAACTTTTCAGGAATCGAAGAGATCGGACGAAGAAATGAAGCCAGTTCAAGATTGCGTAGGTTTAGGGTTGAGTCAGTCTGTACTTTGTTTTTTGCTCTTCTTGAGTCTATTTGTAATGGTCAAAGAAACTGATGCTAAGTAACCCTACACACACACTTAAGAGAATTAGAATTTCTATTTTTACTCATATTGGCCAGGACGATATTTACATCGTCCTGGACGATCAGGCTTAAAACAGAAATTCTAAATAAGGATTCTTAATTAAGGCAGCCGACATTAACATATCGGCCTGGACGATACGAGTATCGGCCAGGACGATAAGCTCAAAACAGAAAGAAGCTGCCGCCATAGACAATTAAGGTATACTGTATTTTTAAATTATCGGCCAGGATGATCTCTGATCGGCCTGGACGATATTCATAAATTATGCCTTAATTGATCAGAAAATCAAGGGAGTAATTAAGGATGATTGATACGATCATATTGTCCTGGACGATCGCAGGATCGACCAGGACGATATATTCAAAAATATTGGTTACTTCAGGACGATAAATATCGGCCAGCTCGAATTCAGGGCGATGCTCTGGACGATTTTCCTCTGATTTGAACTAATCGACCGGGACGATCGTGAGATCGGCCTGGACGATCAAGCCAATTTTAAATCATCCAGTTTGCATTCAGGG